AAAAGCGGCGCCTTGAGGAGTACAACAGAAAACTTTACGAAAGGATTGTTAAATTGAACCTTTTGTGTTCTGCCCGATTCGATCCGATCCAGGAACGTGGCTACGATATCACCAGCGCTATGTGCAGCCTCTTTCAATTATAACCTCTGCCCTTTGACAATGGCAAACTATGACGAACATTAATTAAGACTGCATTGTATAAGCGGAGAAGAACTGATCTTTCGTTAACATTTACAGTTTTTGTTACTTTAAGTGTTATTGCATAAAGGAATCTTGTGCTATCATCATACAATACCATAGATGAATAAGGAATATGCTCTATTTTAGGGAAGGAAACACATAACTGTAATGATAATAAACCACTATGTTAAGCATACGAGATGATTTTATGTTTGTAGATACATTGATAATATCCCCGTGATAGCTTAGGGAGTAACCTATTTGCCTACTGATCTCAGGGGCACGCTGGGGTGAGTAAAACAATGGCATAAATTCTATTCCAGCCTAGTTATTATGAATGTAGTTTGCACATAAAATATCTCTCTGTTTCACTGGCTGAAGAACCGTGTATTATTCTAGATTGGATTTTGGCAACTGTATACGAAAGACTTGAGTATCATAAGATCAGGGTTCTGTTTAAAATTCATTCATTCTCCTTTTGAGTTCGTTCGTCTCTCCGAGATCCAGAAGAAACAAAAAAAAATCTATGTTATATAAGTGTATGTTTTGTATTAGAATATTCGGCCATTTATTGGGTAGAAACACTTCAGGTTGAAACTAAGCATAGTTGAATATCTTGTGTTGAAAACTAGCAAGCGTATAATTAGATCGTATTTGATTTTAAGAGCATAGCCGGTGGAACATCATAAAATATGATAATAATACTTTTTGGGTACAGCCAGATAAAACTAGTCGACGCTCATGGTAGCAATACAAAATGTCAAAATATCCTGTTATATCGTTTGAAGGTTCGCTCCGTATCCCTGATGTAACTCAACAAAGAATTCTTCATGACCTCAGCCACTCCTTTCCCTCTTTTTTTTGCAAACGTCACAAAAAGAGCTGCTTCTCTATTTCCGTATCGGTTCAACGTCGTATCAGTTATTATACAGTCTAAACCAGAAGAGCACGCAGCTGTATTTATTGCCGTATATCCGCATGCCGATGCAGTCTGAATTAGGCAGAGCAGCTTCAGTGTATTAGGAGACGAAGTCCTAATTATATATTGATATTGAGATACGTGCGTAAAGTGTTAGATATATTTACTATTTTGCTATGTCTGCATTCTACTACACTTTAAGTACATAGACACTTCCCACACTAGGAGTTATCGTCCAGAGACTGCTTCCATCAATTCACCTATCATTTCTCTGATTAGCGCTCGGTCTAGCCTGTTAGTTGCTTGTGTATCGGCGCATCTTTGCAAGACATTGAGGTTGCCTATGCACATACAGACGACCAAACCGACGGCCATTTTGTTTCTGTTACTTCTCACTTCGCCAGTCTTCAAGAGAGTGCTTTCGTGAGAGCCGTTCTAATTTCACTGCTCCTTTTTCTGACCCTGGCTTTAATGCGCTTTATCCCCCTAATTTATAGACATATCTACACGTTTATACCGGCCATGTCATAAAACGTTGCTGACGTGCATCATCTTGCTGTCCTATTTTTGCCTTTTCTAAGCAAAAGTTTGGGCAACCGATCAAACGGCTTGGGTACCTAGTGCATCATGTACTTGCGGGGGCGCTGTTCTCCGAGAAGGAGAAACCAGCCGTCATGTAGTCATCATCTTTATCACCATCAACAATTAAATAGGCGTTTACAGCAGCAGGGCAAATTTAGCTAAAGCCTATGCGCGCGCATGTCCCTGGCTGTACCATTTGTGTCTGTCACCGGATAATAGCTTTCAGATTTATGTCCGCTCTTTTACTTTGGCGCTGCTGCTCAATTTGAAACAGGACTTCCTCCAACCTTCAAGGTTCATTTACGGTCGTATAGCAAGCCTGCGCATCTCAGCTACATCAACAGTGCGTGTAAGGGTAAGCCGTTGGCACGTTTCGCTTTGCCAACTTGGGTTGGCGTAACCCTTGTGGAGAGGCTCGTGGTCCCCGCGCGGGTGCGTTCCACGGATGAGCTAACTACTACCCTAAGTTCGGGGCGGGGGGAGGGGGTCAGTTGTTCGGAAAACAGCCGTAACGGAAGTTACTGGAGGCAGATTTCGTGCTATATTACAAGGTACGTGTACATATACTAATATAGCGGCAGCAGAGATAGTAGCCAAAGCAGTGTTATACAGCCGTTATTTTCAGATCAAAGTAACAATACCAGCACAAAACTTTCACTCTAAAGTTACTAACTGAATAACCGGTCAGTTACCAACGGAAGTACCAACGCGCTAAAGGCATTGTCTACAATTAATTAAAAGAAGTCCTTTGCGGTTCATTTCTCAATGTTAGATTTCCTTTCCATTCATAAATTATCTTCCCAGTTTAGTCTGACCACATAATCGCTCCTCTTAAACTATGCAGTACATAAGGTTCGAAAGATCTCTTACAAATATGTATCAGTTGCTCCTGAAAACAAATTGCTGAAATTACTTGGGCAATAATATCAGTTGTGCAATATATCAAGATAATAGCGTCGGTCGCAGCAAAGGCAGTAAATAGCCTTATCTGAAGCCGCTGGAGAAACTGATTTATAAATATGTTCCTCTACTGTGTTTCGTTCATCTGTGTGTGTTTGATATTTCTCTAGTCCTCAGCAGACGAAATATGTCTGCCATCGATCGCTGGCTATGCTGGGAACTCTTCCTATTACTACCGAGCTTGGCCAAGTAATTAGGGATTATGTATCGATATGCCGACGACGGGCTTTCGTTACTTTTTGGTTTGCTCTTAGTTCATCTGTCTTTGGCGGGAGGCTGATGTAGGAGATAAACGCGTTCCAAGAATAAGGTCAAAAATCCACCTCCCTGTTTCTATATTGCGTCATCTACCACGGCTTTAAACCAGAACCAGATGCCCAACGACATACACAAGCACACCGAACGGGCTTTGGCAATATGCGTGTACTTTTTTCGGGGTAAACGAGTCGGGAAATTTTCTATTGTCTCAACATAGCCTGCCAGAGACTACAATTGAAATATGCTGTGATCCGATCTTAATTTATGACAACTGCTTGCTTGAGCCCGAACGTTCATAAAATTCAGTAAGTTTACGAAATTATATATTTAGATGAAGTCAGGGGTTCATTTCACGTATTCATGGCAGGTTCTGCTATCTATCTTCAGCGTAATACGTTTTTGGAAAGCAACTCGGCTTGACAGTTACACGGTTTTTTTTTTAACCCAACACCATAGGCACGCCGTTTGGTTCAGCGTGCGAATTCATAGACATTTTTCTCAGATCATCCTTAGCTACAGTCGTTCTCTTCTAATGTCACAATACTAGTTTAACTAGCGAACTCTAACATGTTCGAACCCGATTTGCGAATAACGGTCGATACCTTTCTGGCTATACATCTCTAAACACATCTGGATAGTTTTCAACTTAAAATCCCTAAATAGACTAAATTGACAGAAGTTAGAATTGAATTTAGCAGAAGTTACTAGCATCGGAACTATGGGCGAGTTTCAAAGCCCTGTATGACGCAACACATACGCTAAAATGAAAAATCGAAATCGATGCGGTCACTGCGTTCGCCGTTCCACGTTTTGCTCAGGCACCGCAAGGTGTCCAATACGACCTACTTTTACAACAGTCCGATCTGACAGCAGTCAACGTAGTGTTGATGGAAACCAACATTAAACTCAAGTTTTTTTTAAGGAACTTTGAGATGGATTCGTTCATTTCTTTTCGAGCGTCAATTGAATCTGTAACCGACTATATACTTATAAAAACCAAGGATAACTTAGGGTTATTTACATATTTTCTGCAGCTATTGACCAGAAGCGAAAACTAAATCGAATGCCTCTAGGGGATGCGAACCTTGCGTTCCTATTGGAATTAAACGTCTGATGAATTTTCTTAAATGGCTGGATGGTAATGATGCGCGAAAGTAAAAGATCCGTGTAGACGTGCCGCGTTAACTTCTAAATAACTATACTAGCGCTCGAAAAGTTATGACTATTTTACTCCAATGTAAACGGGTTGCAACAGAACGTCCATACCGCTTAATCACGTAATCCTAAACGATTTTTGAAGGAGTTGATGGTGTACCTCGACACCCGACATTTGTAATAGAAGTTACGGGTAGAGATATCTGCTAGATCAGTCAGAAATGCATGAAGATGCACTATACTCCTTTAATGATGTATTTCCTGCGGTGATGAGCTTTTTTTTAAAGAAAATAAAAATAATAATACATATTTTGTCTTCCTATTTGTTACAATGGTACTGGCTTGAAAGAGCAACCCGTCATCCAATGCTGTGGTCATCAAACACCTGTACGCCTTTCAAAATAGCTTCGACTTTGTTATCCATTAAACCTGAATAGTATATTGCACTGTTAAAAGCGGATACCTAAGTAAACACTGCAATCGAACTAGGAAATTAAGTGTCGAGGTTACTATAGTGATGAATGTGCTACCCTTTATGATTGCCACAAGAAGATCGTTTTTTTTTGTGGGAAAAGGTAAAACACCGCTGTTTGGCCTTTTTAAGTTCTGTGTGGTCAAGTCGATTCCCCTAAGGTATTATACACGAACGGGGGCGAAGTGTATATGCTTGCCACCGGGCTGGCTAGTCCAACATGGCGTTCGACACCAATAATAACAAAGCCGATTGCTGTGGCCATCACAGTAAAACCCGGTACAAAATGTTACTGCGCTTTTTATTACGACAATTGGCATACTGAGGCTTTACTTGAGGTTTCACAATTGTCATGAACCTTTGGCGTATTCAATGTATACGTGTATATAAACTTCATTTTTTGTATATGTTACCTATGAAATGTGTATAAACATCAAGTTACCTTTATACACATTGAAAAAAAACTCCATGATGGTAATTAAAAAGAGATTTATGCAAATTTTTATTTCGATGCGAATTCAAGAGCATAGCTTACATACGTATAGATTATACAAGTCCTTCAACAACGACAATATATGGGTTTCGATCGTTTCCGATCAGGAGTTGTTTCTTATATTCTACCGGATTTGAAAAGAAATCAAATCGATTCGATGCGTATCTGTAACAAAATAAGAAGTTTGGGTAAGTTTTCACGAAGAAACAACATTAAATGTAGCGATGGTGGGTGAACTGAACCGTACCAACCTTTTGGTAATTTTTCCATCGGCATCGATCAGTAAGAAGCTACCTTGATGCGAAGCCATCTCCGATACGAACTCATACGAACTCAACTGAAGCCGTGAACAATAACAATCGTATAGTGGTAAGGCATCTGTGATGACGTTTCCGCACCCTAACAACGCTCATCAATTAGGCTGGCAAACATCTATAAACTCGTCGGGAGTAAGACTGATTGATCATCAGTGCTCTCACATCTCATTTAAATATATCTGACCAAAAAGGTATTCCAATTAATGTTCACCAATACTTTAAGGCAAAGGTTGCACCTGTCACCGACTTCACTTTATGGCAAAAACGTGTTCGACCTTTAAAAATAGAACACATTTGGCACAATGAGTTCCTTTATTATCAACGTACTTGTGGCCAAACTGCCTGTCTTCCAAGGTAAGTGCCAGAAAGCCTCTTACACGTTGGGGCTTTGCGCGTTTCCTTGCCAAACGTCCGCACAACAGTCCCAAGGCAGATCGTTTCAACAAGGTTGCCAAACCTACAAACTTTAAAAGCATTTTAATGAACTTTTTCTCATTTCAGACTGACTTGACGTCAACGAGTACGACGCTGCCCTTCGAGATATCCAGAAATACGCAGCTGGTAAGCTCAAACCTCGTCATAACAGCCCATAGTTTGATATACTCAGAAGTATTTTCAGACTCAAATAGATGCCTGCTAACCTGCCATAATCTATCCAGGAGGACGTCCGCCTTGCATTATTTCATGAGAATGATACAAACAGCTCTACCGGACTGAACAAAAGAAGCACTTCGATACGCACGAAGCTTATCTTTAGTTCGAGGCGGAGATACATCGCATGTTTACAATGGCTTGTATTTCCTCCCTTGCCTATAGAGTTAGGTATCATTATTGTTTATTTTCGGCAGATGTTTAGTGTTTCAGCGAGAGCGCAATAGAAGAGCGACCGGGGTATAGCGCGGCACGGAACAAGCAGACAGATCAGACGAGGACTGCAACGATCGCCGACGCCTTGTGGTGCAAGAGAAACAACAACGTTTATCAGTCCGTATAAGTGCAATGCTGTAGACATGGTGAAAATGTTCTCCTGGTTCACAGTCGATCCTACTGACGATGTTTTGGGGGATTAGACGCTTGAGGTGTCAAAACCTTTACAACTTCATGAATTTATAGAAGACTATTCGACAAATACATAGATATCGTTAGATCTCTATGTTATAACAGAAAATCTCTGTATTTAAACAAAAACAGATGATTCAGCGACATTTTTCGCCCCCACTGTATGTGATATTTGTAGCATCGATTTACCTCGATTACAGCTTCAATTAGGGACTTAACGTTAAACTTACCGTTAAGGGCAGTTTAATCGTTTACGAGGTCTTTCATCAGTACATATATTCAGCTATCGCCTCGTTATCAAACTTTACACCATTGAAATGCCATCAAAAAATTTGGTTAGGATTAGCCCATCTTGACCTGGCACGCTAAAAATGGGTTCGCAAACGTAAGTTTAGTGTTCCACTAGTCATTTTCAGAATATTTTTTCTAACTCCGAAACGACATGTTTTCAATAGTAGTGCGTTAAGTGTAGACTCGTTAGAGTGCGCTTGACCCACCGCTCAAGAGTAGCTAAATTTTGGTCCAATAGCAGATCAAAAATTCCCAGAAATATAGAGGTTCAAAAAAGACCGAAGGATCCAAAAGATGCAAAAGTCTTAAGAAGACTTGGCGGCGTTGGAGCTCGCCTGAATTAGCAATAAATACTTTCTCAAAAAAAAAAAAAAAAAACTGTTAATTTATCTATCAAAAAGCCAGGGTTATCAGAAACGGTTTTTGAACCTTTTTGATGAATTTTGAGCCTTTGGGCTATTTCCTTTTTCCTATATAAAAACTTCCTTGGATCTTTGGGAATCCGCATAGAAACTTGCAATAACATGGGCCGCCGATTTCGGCCAACAAAGGAAGTGTATAATCTCGGCGAGGCTTCTCCAGCTTGAAGCGAATGCATAGCAACTAATCTTTACTGAGACTTCAACAACGATGCATCGTTGTCCGCGACGATGATTGTGCAGTTTTAAGTCAAATCTCGCTTTTTCTAGTACCAGGAATAGGCAATGAGCGGATACCTTTTAGGGCAAACAGGCCTACACGGTTTATCCGAATTTGTCCTGGACGCTCGGCATACGTATATACATATATATCATGTTTCAACCTCCATTTACCCTATCGGCCACGTCGATATAGTCCACTCGATGAGTTGTCTGTGCGACAAGTCTCAGATACTCTGCCACCAGGTTGTTCATCTTTACGAAATTTTCAGTGGCGCATGCCTGCCAAATGAGTAAATATAAACAAACAGCAAGAAGCTTATTGATGCGGTCGATTATTATATTATTATATTTATTATAAAAGAACCTAGTCTCTTTTATATGGAATTTTGAAACACAGTGGAAAAAAAAAGAAGTTGGTTTTATAAAGGGAGTTACACAGCAAAAAATTAGGCCGATCGGTAGGTAACACAATTTGCTATTCGATAAAAAAGTGCTGAGTAAACATACAAATCGTCATAAAAATTAATGCTTGCAATTTTTTGAATTATTTATACTTTTGAGCTATACGAGGTAATTAAGGGTAGAAACATATTGGTTACTTACCTTATTGGAGAGGTAATCAAAAAGGACCTTTTCGCTACCGTTACGGGCGAGGTTTATTGCCACCCAATAGCTATTATTAGACGCGGCACGAATGTTGTCAGGCTCTCCTGGCATTGATGGTGTAAACACCGTATAATTGCCTGCTTCAGGAAACATAAGTAAATGAATAGAACGTTCTGCATTTGATATATTTCGAAAGATTGAAAGAATAAGATGAGAGTCAAAGCCAGGACATTTTGCCCCATCCTGTAGTGCATCGTTATTTAACGAAATTTTTACTTGCCTTTTGAGGCACCGTCGAGCGTAACCTGTAAAATTCGTCGCCTGTTCATCTCATTGACCAAGAGGGTTTTTTTATCGTGCGACAGTTGGATACCGTTGGGGAAGCTCAGGCCGTCCACTAGAACTGACACCCGATTAGTTTCGATGCTGTAAGCCAGTACGCTGTTACGCAAAAAAAAAAATAGCATTTGCTTCTTTTATTACATACTCGTATTGAAATGATCTATTAGCGATTAAGTTATAATATCTTTACATAAATAAAATTAATAAAATTGCGTAGACGGGCAGCTAAAGCCCCGTCATTCTTGTTCCATAACAGTTTTATTACCGTCCGTGATTATCATGTAGAAGTGTTCCTCGAAGAATGTTGGTATTAGAATATTTCGTACTGCTATCGCTCATGTAAATCATTTTTGTATCTTCGTTGACATCCAGGTCGTTGGGTAGCATTATGGCCTTACCATTCACCTTTGACAATCTAGGCACAAGAACGGTCACGTTGTCTGTTTTATGAAAGAACACAAATTGCAGGCTGCCTTATTGAAAGGTGTATTGTCATAATATTAACATGTACATATATACACTAGTCCGTAAATCGCATTAATGCCATTTCGTATTTATGGGGTCTAGCTGCTCTTAGCCTATGGATTCATTTATTTTTGCAAGTAAATACCTGTGCATGTACGGAATGTACTAGATACGTACATAAAAAAAGAAATGAAGATAATACAAACCTGTAGCGATATCATAAAGGCATAGACCAGCAGAATCGGCGAAATAGAGTTTGTTGTCAGAAGTAGCCCGAATACCTTGAGGTCGGCATTCGGTGACTCCGGTAGCATTGCAGGCTGTTGCAAGTTTGATCGCTTTCATTGTCAATAAATCGATCTGAAATTAAAATGATTGACCCATACGAACTTGTGTGTATTAGTTAATCCATTTATTCTGTAAAGCTATAATGATTCAAATCCATTTTCGCACAAAAGAAGCACTTTTTTTTATTTGATGGTAAAGTATTGGCCTCTTAATCTTAATTAAAGTAGCAAAAAAAGCCATTTTTAGATAGAATATTATTACACAGAATGCTAATCTCTTGATTCACGACACTGGCTAGGTCGTGGAAGCCAGCTTCCAGAACGCAGTGGACTCAGAAAGAGCAGTGATCGAAGGGACTCACTGCCCATCCTATCACACGTTTACCCCTTGGCCTCAAAGCTAGCCTCGGTATCACGTTATAACGATCTGAGCATTTCATCAAACTAAAATCAACTGTGTACATGTCGACATAGCTTTATGAGTAGTCTACGTAGACCTCTAGACCATTCGAACGTTGCCCACTCAGAGTATAACATATAAATGTAAAAATAGACAAACACAGTACACAGAGAGATTTGGGCGACGCAGACATGATCAAAGCCATTCGTTAATTTTAATCAGGTCCCAAACTGACGGAATAATAAATAGAAGAGGTTTGAAACATTGGCACGCATTTTCACCGGAAGTGATGGGTCATGCAGGCATACTCTTGCAGGTTTCAGTCATGCACACAGGTGTTAATAGTGCGTGGTCACGGGCAAAGGCCCAAAGCTCAGTCCTATGTGAGCGGAATCACGCGAGTATAGGCTGCTTAGTATGCCTAATCTAACATATAAACTGAGTTTAGCTCGTATTTTTCCGCAAGTTTTTTGTGCAGAAGTTTGTCGAAGAGTACTCATTGCATAGTTTTGCTACGCGCTGCTCTAGGCTCCTTGCTAGGTCCCAAAATAAATCTTAACCCGCCGTTGAAATACAAAAAAAGGGTTCGTTTAGATGCACCAAAGCTAAAATGCAAAGCTATTTTTGCAAAGTTTAGCCATAACCTATTCCGACCCGATCCTATTTTCGAAAATATGCTTCGATGAAAATAAAAATGCTATTGAATTTCAGGAAATTTAAATTCGTCATTCACACACGTACCTTATAAATCCAGCCGTCATCCGCTCCTGTATATGCCAAGTCTTTTTCTTCCACCACGGCAATTGATTCCGGCCCAACAATTTCCGGGAAGTATGCGGTTAGCTGGTCGTCGACGTTTCCGGTCACAGGGATGTATGGAAGTTGCAGACTAACCGTAAAAAACAGATGATTCAAGTTGCCTGATTAACATGTCACTGGCTGTCGTATAGAATCAAATGGATGTTTGTCTTATATACGAAAGAGTATTAGGCGACTATTATTGGTGGACACTTATGCCGGTCATCAGTTATCGTTGTAGCTTTCCTCCCTTTCGGTTCGAAAATTAATTTTTTGCATCAGCTATTGTTATTGTGCTAACCATAAGACGACTTGATAAAAACGTAAATAATAGCTAAACAAACTCGGCTGAAAAACCCACTCGTACGGGTTGGCCTCTTCACCCTTCTGAAGAAAATTATCCGTCAGGCAACTGGCTCCATCAATAAACTGGTTGAAGAAGGCCGTATCGCTCTTCAGAGGCTCTTCAAAACGCACGTTGCATCCCGATGTGTAATCTGGGTTTCTATGAACACTGCAAGCACCGTAGACACTCGATAGATTATTAAGGGACGACTGGAATGACAAATACTTCAAACCCATACTTGTTTAATGCGTTTTTTTGTCAATAATGTTAGTATTTTATCGCAGATGGCTGTCGGTGCACCTTCATATTGCTGGCGAAGAATTCCGCTTGATAAGTTGGCTTGACCAAAGGAGCGCTCCTCATTGTGAAAGATTATGTTAGAACATTGAATTACATTAGGAAATACTGATCATCAAGTATCTCAAAGTTATGATACATGCGAGTACAATGTGCATCAAAAAAATTATTCATTAGAAGTACCATTACAAACATGCTTCATGTAGAAATTGTGTATATTTTGTAAGTGCAAATTCGATTCGTAATATTTATTAATTAATAATAATAATAATAATACGTATGTTTTCTACCCTGTATTTATTCTATACGGAAGATAAAGCTGGGGTATTTAAGAGTGCCAAAGACGCAGCACCTTCGAGATTGTCATGGCAGTCGGCCTGCATGACCTGTATATGTAGCATTAATTTATAGTTATAGTGATATGATAAAATGCTCTACGTAGATTTTTTTCAAAAATGTAGAATGCATAGCTATAGCATAAATGCATTAAGCTGAGTAGAAGTTAATTATTTATGGCTGGGGGTTTAGTTTTATGGGATTTACGCTTGAAGTAGTTGGCAGGCTGCTAATAACGTCACATTAACAAAACATGCATTCGTAGTCTATAGGTACGTGTTCTGCGCCCGAATCAAAAATGAATCTGCTGTATTTAGCTAATTTTCTAAATAGTACTCACTCAAAAAGTTTCGCTCTGGCTACAATGGCGCACTTAGCAGTAATCGCGACGATTATAGATAAAAGCCTCATTTTTGCTGTAGTCAGAAGTGGTCCTGAAAATAGTTCGATTTGTTCATGCCATTAGCTATTTAGGTATTACCGTTGATCTTTTCGTTTTCTGTCTTCGAAAATTTCGTAGCACTTCTTTGGTTCTAACATTTAGTTGAAATCTATAACATGTGTTATTTGTAAACACAGCAGCATCGTTCCATGTATATTCAACTCGCGTCTACCACTGAGAGGCGTTCTCCATTTCGGTTTGCCTTAAATTCAATCGGTACCGACCTTCACGTCCGCTGTCAACAACGTAAAGCTTGTTAATACAATCACTATTGGCTATTTTTGAGCCAACTACCGCACCTACATAGTTATCACTTGGAGGCACAAATGAAATAGGGTAAAACAGAGAATAACTTAATTTGATTATATTTTCCTTCTCTTCTTGATGAGGGTGGGCTCTAACTATTCACCCGTGGCTGTTTTCAAACAGATCGTAAAGAGTTTCGTTACACTACGACAGGTCACCCAAGAGCCTCCTCAAAACCTCATAAATAATAAAAAAATGAATAATTTACCTTAAGAAAATATCATCTTTTACGCTTTACCGTTAGCTTATCACACAACAACAAAATTAGGTGACATTTTTAGGTAAATGCAAGTACGCCATATATTTGATATGCTCTCATGAATGAAATAGGTGCGCACGGAAAATAACCCTAATTCGTCCTTCTTTACTTCTTGGAATGACCAAGACGATGGACAAATGTCTTTTTTCTAATTTACCTTTTTCTAAATAGTCCGACTGTGGTAAACTGTGATCTGGATAGAAACCCAGTGAATCAGTTCAAATAAGCTATCGCGTTTTACTGATAGTTTCCGTGACTTGTTGTGTTCACAGACGGCAGTATAGGTTGTCGTCAAAGCTGAACGTTCTATCTATTGATTTGATTATTACAACTCATACGAATGGAGGAACAAAGGTAAAGTTTAGTTTTCACCTTTCGTGATGGAACAAAGCAATCTGCCAGGAGATAAAATCAGAGAGCGAATTTTAGTTTTTATGAATAGTTTTACATTATTGTGTGATGTACATTATTAAACCTCCTACTTGTGGCGACAGGATAGTCTAATTAACCTAGTGGAAGACAAACTTGCGACTGAGGTCAACAGGACGCAAGGATTTGTAAAAGAATTTTAATTAGAAAAATTTCACGTGTTTCCTTAAAAAAAAGATAATTTTTAACCCGGACGATCGATTGTTAATATCTACTATAACAATACTTTAATAATAATAATACACTTACATTTGAAGCCTTTCATTATTTAGATCGCTTACATTCAAAGTAAGAGATTAAATGATGTATATCATTTGCTGGAATTACTTGCATGATAAAGTCTTAGAACATTTAATTACTTTTGATTTTTTTTTTATTTAATCGGTAGTACACCTTTCCCCCCACACAGCAAAGCTATATGGAACATATGCATAGATATTCTTGTGGGAGTAGCAACGTTTCGCTGCCTCTATATGAATGAACAAATTTCTATAGAGTGAAGTTACGGTATTTTTGCCGAATATATAATTACAAATACATCATTGATTGAATTGGCCAGCAGGTAAGTGCTCTGATAAGGAAGTCTGTGTGAGAAAAATAAAAACCAGATGTGATCTCAGCTGCACAGTTCCTTAATAACGTTCTACTCGCAGCACGGAGTGTTATTATTTAAGAGATTCAAAGTAGTGTTTTACTGGAACATTCATCAATCTCTGTTTGGTTTACCTATCTGACCCAAGTATCGTTTCAGCATTGACTCGCCCTACTGTATATTATAAACAGTTCGAAACGCGTATGCCCCTATGCCAAATACTGTTGTGTCAAGTGAATAAATTCGTATTTTGTGTTCTTTTTTTATTTTACAAGGAATTGCCTAATAACTGGATAAAGTTATTATCGAAGGCGGCCTTTCAAGTACAGCGTAATTTTGTCGAGGCACGACTGAGTGCAACGGTTCGTGGAGGCACTGTTTATCTGCTTCTGGGCATCGGGGTGCGACTTGGTTGAATTTACGTCTATCTGCCAAATGCTTTCCATTTCTAGGCAGAGCATTATGTGAAGGCAGACACTTGCCGCATCTCACGTTGTTGTTCCTGCTAGATACGCTCATAAGCGTTGCTATACAATTTTTCTCTCTACTATTGGAAATTTAAAAAAAGCTTCGAACCGTGAGCTCGTACTTGTCTCTCCAGGCACTATAGCATGTTTTTGCGAATTTAGGTAGGTGAAAAAGGTGCGCAGACCCTCTAGGCAATCGCATGTATTGCTCGAGAAATGTCTATATTTATTGAAAAAATGGCGTACCAACATTTTGCTTCCAAGTCCTGCGTCCCATTGTTAATGCTATGGCTCAGGAAATAAAATTTGAATATAGACAATATTTGGAAGGACGAAAGACCTATTTGAGCAGAAACATGCTTCCAGAATTCGATATGACAGGGTCCGGCAAAAAGACCTGTAGCGCGCCTGTTTTTTTACTCGGATGTTAACAGCGAACGATTATCGATAAGCATAATTTATAGAGCTTAGATATCTGACCGCCTTTGAAAAATGAGTGGACGTCCTGTTGCGCTCCATTGTGTCCGATAACTTACGTCATGAAAGAATGACCAAAACAATAGAATAAGATGTTCCAGTATTGATGCGACTTGTATCTATTATGGAGTTGTGCTGCATATACTAAAGCTTACATGACGAATCTACGCAGGGTTCAGCTCTATGGGCATGTGTGTACTAAACTAGCTATGATTTTTTCTATTAACTAATGTAATCGGTTCGATAGAACTTCTTGTCCTGCGGCATCTAGTTGGCAGGAAAAATGGGATTAGCCAGGCATATAATAGTGTTGATCCCCTAGATGTTGCTAGATAATTACCTATCTTCTGAGCACCGGCACAGAAGGAATGAAAAAAGACCTGGGTAAAGCGTAGATTGTAAAACGTAAAACTGAATAAAAATCCACGTAGTTTTATCGTTGCTACCCTTCAATGTTATTTTAATATTTAATGGCAAATAAGTATTTTAGCTGAACACTTATGATAACGGTTGTTATGTAAGAGGTGCAAATCTTTGCAGCTTTTGGATGAGAATCTAAAAGGCGAAAAACTGCTGGTTTAAAGTAATCAACATTTTATTGTTATACTTTTACTTACATATATATATATATATATATATATATATATAATAAAAATATAATGTTCTGTGCTACAAATTATAAATTCATACTTTCAATACTATATACTCAATAATAAAGACAACTGCACAGCGTATAACATATGTTTACTATTACTTGCTATTGCTATCACGAATATGTTTTTCGCTCATCTTTACATGGTCCTTTACACAGGCCATGGTCGTTGCTGGGCCTGTTGCAAAAATTAAAAATATAATAAGCGCACTCCGATGTTGAGCCCGAATGGCCGCGGGCACTAATTACATTTCCTCACGTGCGAGTATACACATGGGTATGGCAGTAAGTTGTTTTGCTGGGAAAACTCAGCTAAAGCTAGCTATTGAGTGGCCGAAATGCCCGCACGCGCAAAGCGTTCCTGCGTTGTCAAATTTAGCTGATACAGATAAACACAAGAACAATATCCTCGAGAATTTCGTATTGTTTCAGATATGTACAAGTTGCGCTTTGATATACGGAAGCCCTCATGCGTGTACAGCACGCCATGCCCGCAGTATCTATCTAAAAAGAGAGAAACGTCACGATCACTAGAACGTGCGGCCTGCAAAGGCATATTCAAGTGAACCGCATGTGGAAAACACGCAATATTCAGGTGGTTTAGGTCCGTTAATCCTTGTACTTTTTGCCGACTATTTTACACAGGTGGTAACCGTCTCGCTTTAAGCAAAATCCTGTCTTTCACTTACCGCAAGACTAGGAATCATCAACTTGGGGTACTTCCTAGGCAGCCATCGTCTTCGAGTAATGCCCCTGATATCGGCAGCCTTAAGCCATATTCTGACAGCTCAATCATAGTAAACTTTCATACGTTCTCGTATAAATTAAAACTATTTTTCGCATCCATATCCATAAAACTACATTAATATACTTATTAAATGCGTTCACTGATTTCCAGAAGCCATGTCATTCTTGTATCTGGCAGCCTGTTTATCTAGACATTTCAGCAGACACTGGGATTGCATTATACTAGCGTGATGTACAAGTACACGCTAAGTTAGGTCATCGTTTATGTCACAATGCCGAAGATCGACAAAATTATCTTTCCTTGTTAATGATGCCAATGTAAATGAAAAGCAACCTCTCACATATATATATAGACCCACATATATAGACCTTTTATAAGCTGCAGTTGACAAAAAAGAAAGTGAAATGCCTTCACATCTTGATCAGAGTTTTACAAACAGAAATTACAGGTTAAGGTTAATTAAATTCCCATTATATTATAATTCTGTCTACTGTTAAGACCAACACGTTTACTCGTTCTATCGTAAACGTGGTCTATAACTGTGTACTTTAAGTTGAAGTTCTCAGAGAGATTCAATTACTTGCAAACATCTATAAACTTTATCGAAAATCCTATCTTTTAATACATAGCAAGGATCAATCAGTCGGCTGATGTGTTCTGTTTCGGAAACTAAAAACACAGAGCTTCCTTAGCCAATGTCTGCAGTTCAAGCCGCTGTTCCTCTCTCAACAATGACGCAGAAAAGGAGGTCATTTGAAGGCAGAAAAAACGCGTCTAATACAGATGGATTACGAAGGCCAAAAGTACGTACAATCTGAGGTTCGTTCCTACGTGATTAGGACAAATAGAGCCCTTTCAACTGTGTTGCGTCATGTACGCCTTTCAGCTATTAACAGATTCATGTACATCGAGAAAAGGGTACGCGTTTACGCGTAAAGGTTTAATCATCAAAGTGCGTAAACTGAGTGCTACCTTTAAGTTTACTGTTTGAGCTTGTTTTAAATTATCGTCTAGTGAAGTTAAAAACACGCTGATTTCAATACCTGTCCCTGAGTGTAACGACGAATTTCATTTCATAGGTTATCCTCTTCTTATCCCTATATAAGGCATGAATACGACTTCTCAATCTGTGTTGAGAGTCATAGAATCTGTTAACTTGTTCTGGCTCGGAGAAATCCTAATAATTCCAGTTGTTAGATAGAGAACATTATTGAAGCTAAATACGGAGATTGTTTTGTGTTCTTTTAAAAGAAAAAAGAACGTATCGCTATGAACGTATGAAGAGTACGATACGAATATTATACAATAGATGGGGCAAATTGCTATAGCATACAATCGATCTCTTAATAAAATTTGAGAATCGATTGGCGTCGTTGTGACAGATCGTTACATCGACGGTTGAATGATGTACCTAGCTCCACAAACCTGAGGTTAGTCTGAGAACAAAATCAACGTCTGCTACCTTTCTGGTTTACCACAAGTAGGCTCCTCCGTGACTCTGCAACCCTGTTGAGCTAGCGACCGTTTTTAACTCCTATCGCATCCGAGTTGTAAACTACCTTTACACTTCTGTATCTGCTTATTCGAAGTAAACTCACGCTACTACGTGATTAACTTCTAGACAATCTCACAGCATGAAGGACACTCCCCAGCAACGCTACCCAGGCCAGGCAATGTATTGCATAAGTATTGCACATAATAGACAGAGAACGTGGGACTGATCTGAACAAAGTCATAATAACGTCGTTAACTTGCATGCCCATCGAAAATACTTTCTCGCTGCATAATAATCCCAGTTTCAATTATCATTGAGGGGTCGACACATGTCTTCCAGGGTTCTCTATTTTTTCGGAATTTTTTTAACTCAGTTATATTGCTACCGTAAGACACGCTTAACATATCATGATCCACAAAAAAGTAAGACAGATATATAAATTTTTGCTATTTACTACGCGAAACTCTAGCCCATTGAAGATATGGACAAATTACTGCATGTCCAATATTATTACTATGGAATACTTCGGATCTTGCTAAGAATCAGTGATTTCAGTAGTTAGGAGATTGACTTATTCATCGTACTAAGGTGTGCTTACATTGCACGAGAATGCCGGAAATAATAAATACTGAGAGCTCTGGATTTTTTTTATTTATGAAACACGGTGGATGCAGTAATTTCATTCAGTTAATCTAGCCTCACTTCTAGGTTTTTACGTTCGATATCGCCGTCAGGCAGTCTACCAGACGGCTGGCTGGCTGGCTGGCTCCCAGGGCGAAACAAAATCTGCTTATCCAGACTACAACGTTTGCTTAAGATTACCTAACCTAACATTCAAAGATGTTATTTTCCCAATATTAGTTCAGTTTATTTTGGGAATATTTTGTTTTAGCGAACGATCGTTTTTGTCGACTATACAAAACAGTCCAATCGGCAGGTCAACTCCAAATTCTTAAAGCCTTATTACTACAAGGATATGAAATAATGGATAAATAATTGATCCACCTTATATCGGTAGCTGCTGGTCGAAAACGTAACTAGTTCAAATGCATTCAATCGAATCTTCACCGTACCTAACCTAGAAATAGGGAGCACTTTTTCTGGGCTATAATCGGCCTTGTTGGGTGAGCTTTATACATCATCTACTCACTATGCAAGAAAGCAGTAATTATTCAGCAAGAACCTTTTTTTTTTACAGCTAAGTGGGTACATTCGTCCATCGTACATGGCTAATGTATGAAGATTTTTACGATGCAATGATTTGAGCTAGCATAGGTATAGATAATGCTGCACTAAAAACTGTATAAATTCTCATGTACGATTTTCTAGTGCGACAGATTTGTTGCCAAAATATTCTCATAGAAATTACTAACGTACCTGTTTGAGATTTCAAAACTGAGCGCGGCAAATAAAAGAGTAGTCGGTATTGCCGACGCCTGGGTCAAGTTGGAGTGAATTTTACGCGATGTTGTCCCTGTAACACAGTCGGCAAATGTTTAGTTATATTAGACTGGTAGATAATATTAATATCCTTACTAGCCTTTCTTGTCTGGTTGGAGACATCCAGAAAAGAGGACAAAGCAAAATTGTAGTTTTAACATGCAATGGGAAACAATTTAAAATAACGAACCGCATACCATCCACGTACTATAGGAGTAATTTAGAACCAATATTATATATATATATATATATATATATATATATATATATATATATATATATATATATATATATATATATATATTGCCATGCATGTGGGTGTTAATAACCTCGAATGACTCTGCGCGAGTATTTAAACAATATTGAATCGTGACTCCTGGCTTACCTACTGGTATACATATCGCAATTACCCAATGAACGTTTAACTAGCTATTTATATACAGACATTTCTGACCTTGTCTTATAGGTCACAATTCTAGCAAATGTCAATTAGTATGCTGCAAAAGCGTGTCCTACTCCGTTATAAAGTGATCCTAAAGATAACACAATGCACCAACATATCGTAATGTTTATAGCTTGACATTATTTAGAGTCTATTGCGTGGCACACAATGCCGAAGCGCTTGAAATATAAGCAGAGTTTTAAAAACGATATTGCAGCAGCTTGAGTATATTGAATCGTTTTCTGTTACTTTCAATTCCTAAACATTTTGAGCAAGTGAGCTTGTCCTCCATCGAGACTATCTGGCCATGTTGTTCCCTGGACCGTCCGATGTTTCGCACAATGAGCGACGTACGACTTGCGTATTCGGTAGCGTGCATTATCTCTGTCGAACATCGATTGTTGCCGCCGTGAAGCGTCGATGGCCTGATCATCCACTGAGTAACTCCCAGAAGCTTGACCTTTTCTTGTAGCTAGGTTGTGTGGCCATTTAGAACAAGCGGAGGTAGCGCTTACGATCTATAACCGCTAAGCAAGAAAATTATCTAGATATCTTTCTGCGTTTATCGCAATTCTACTTACCCTGAGATTTTATTTAACAGCATAGGTTAACTGGGCAGAGCTAATCTGTTTTACTGGCTTGATAGAGCAAATTATGTCAGCTTCATCATAGGTTAATGAGGCTGAGGTACATTTAGGCTGTCTATGGATGAACTGGCCTATTTAAAGCAGTTGTCGCGACGAATCTCGTTGCTACAAGGCTGCCTGACGGTCAGGTCTAGGTAGCGACACACAAGGCCACAGCAACACCATTTGCTTGGTGTATTGAAATCAGGCCGTCAAATTCGACAAGCCTTTCTTTTGCAGACAGAAAATATAAGCTGCGGTGCGGTGGGACTAGATCATTTCCAATCGCTATACGTTGAGTAAAAGAATTTTACCGTACTATTGGAAGCCGGACTATTGGAAGCAAGATGTCGGATGATGACGGGTAAAGCAATGCGCTATATTTTAAAAATCTTTTATATTATTGGAATTTTATTTTTTTAGAACAGCGAGGACAACTCCTTTTTTCATCTTAAAACTGAACCAGCTTTTGCAGAGCAGCTTGTCTGCTTTCATACTATTATTATATATCTATCATTGCGCATTAGTTCCTTTACAATGCCCGATTAATCCCGAATGGGCCGTCAGGTCCCTCCCACAGGATTTAGCGGTACTTACACTGGTAGAAATGTGCACAGATGAATTTACTCTAATAGATTTCGTGGGGTGTTGTCGTCACGTGTGTGCCTATTAAAGAAGACATGAAATAGTCTATAGGCGAAATCCGGTATAAATACAGTTTTGGGCTGGGGCCTGGCCGCTTCAAGCAATACTTAGCGGCAGTGCTGGGTGTGAACTGGAAACATCTTTTTAACCGGACAGACGTTGTCTCGTTCGGGTCTCTCTGCTATAGGTCATTAATAAATAGATGAATAAATCAACTCGGTGGGGTATGTTAACGGATTTAAGTACTATGCAGATCCCATTATTTTGGTTATAGTTTCACGCATTTGAATAGGCCCACCTATAGTTTGTATCGAACTTGTAAACTAAAAAGAAAGTTGGTAAGAGATTCGCTGGGAGAAACCTGCAGCTGGTCAAGAGCACACTAATGAGCTCTATCAGTCCCGTTACCGTAATACGACAACTGAACGGACGGCTACCGTGAACCATAAGACCGACCAGTGCGCTCAACGTTGAGAACTCATCAGGGTCTTCACACACAGCCAAACGATTTTCTCTTTTTTGCTCTGTGTGCAATAATGTACTCTAGAAAAGGTTTCTATTTTGGTCTCTGTCTATTTTGATACCATGCAGGTTTTTCAATATATCTAAAGCCCTTTGGGAATAGGGAGGGCCTGCCGAGGAAGGCGGGAAAACTGAGACTATTAGGGTTGAATTATTAACGATAACGAGCTCGTTGTTCAACGTCCGAACCGCTCAATAACGGTAAAATCTTATTTATACGAATGCAGACCCCCACAAGAATCCACACGATTGTGTTGGATACTAAGTGTGCTGTGATGTCTTTGGATAGACTTTAGTCTTTTTGTATTTTTTTCTATTTAAATTATATGCAAGGTATATCCTAAAATAGCAAATAATATACTTTTATAGGTCAATTGTGTAAGGAAATATCGAGCAGAATATTGCGCCTATGGATATAGTATTAGCCAGATTTTGATATTATCGCATGAACCTAAAACAGTCTCCATATATGGCTATGAGAAAACGAATAGTTTCACGGTATTCTTTACCTTGCTTTTTCTACGGACTATCAGTTTAAATATAATGAAATTTTAAACTCTTATGCAACGTACATGCTTTAAATACATGATTTGGTCAAATTAGTACAACTGTTTATAGTCTGTCACTCATTTGCTAGTTAAGGGAATGCTGATAAATGGGGCTCTGGCAGCGTTTTACTTGACTATTTTATTTCATTACGTATTATGGAAGAGTCATATGGGATTCCTGAGGTTATGGAGCTGCATTTGATACAGATCCAATTCGATTTGATCTATGACAAACATATGATCAAACTAGAACTAACTGAGAAAATTCTAAGTAATTTCGAATCTCTTGCCGAAGTAGATGGTAATCGTCAACCCTAACAAAACGGGAAGTTTTGCAAAAGATATTTTGCAGTATTTATATGTTGTTTATAATTGAAATATAGTTTAGCCTCCAGCTACATTTCGTCGAGCTAGGTAGCCTGCAGTACTTTCGTATGTATACTTAATCAAAACAAAGAGTAAGATTCATTGTTAGAGGGTCCACTTATACCACTGACTCGTTACTTCACACATAATTCAGTATACGACATCAAGGTAACGCAGAGCCGAAGTTATCTCGTACATGTAGAATGTTCTTGGGCGCTATAGGGACGTAAAAGAATGCGGATTGCCGCTTTTTTGGTTAACAAGAGTGTATGTTCTTAGAAGGAAATACCATACTTTTTTTTGTATAGCACTATCAAAAACAGTGCTTTTACTTTAGATATGAATCGTAAACTTGACACGATTTTCTTTCCGACCAGAGTCGAAATGACGAAACCCTTCAGGTTATTTATGTTGCTTTTACATTTTGTCGAATTCTGACTGTATTACAAAAAACAAATTTTTTTTTTTTTATTTCATGGTCGAAGAATAGAAGAAGCTAGAGAGTGGATCATAGTGCAGAACTTACAATAGTTTCGTTGTCTGTTCCATGCCGAACTTCATAAATTACCTCACTGAGTTATTTTGCCAGAGGCCAAAGTTTAATATGAGATGGCACGCCGTTGATTGTTAATTCGGCAAAGGAAGTGACCTTCGTAATCGACTCTCTTTACAACTAAATGAAGTAAGCGTGTGTGTAAATATGAAGGTTAATCTGATTTATAGCTCTTTCTGTTTTTTGTGCCTTACATGTTTGTCGTAAATAACATGCTATACGTGGTTTTATAAGAGAATCGGATGATTACCATATGCTGAGGTCGCCTGCTTTCAAAACAAGGTCATCACGCACGATCATGGATTATAAATAAGCAAGGATAACTATTTGTGCCAGAATCATGAACAACCACCATAGTTAGACAAAATTCAGTGAAATATTGCTGGCTTTGTAAAAATAGCGCCGCACATTCTTATAGTTTCTTTTTACTCTTGCTGATCAAGCTGGCTTTAGACTGCCATAAGAACTTCGTGAAAATCTGTGATGGATAAACTATAACTATTTCCGACTATACTAAGGATGCGAGTCTCTCTAACTCAGGTCTAACGCGGGACAAGAAATTTTTTCTTAGCTTCATTAGATGACTGGCTCCTTCACACGAAATACTCCACCTTAAAAAAATGTTTCCTTTCTGAAAATATGTCTTTATGTTTGATGTTTTCCTAAAATTTACCGTAGCGCCTTTTTAGGCTGCAAAATAAGGAAGCCTTTGTCGAATGCATTAGTATATAATTTTCGCATCGTAATGGCCGTATTTGGTGATCTGCTGAAGTAAATCTTGCTTACTATTGCTTAATTGTTTGTTACGGCCATCTTTTTTAGCATTTTTGATCAGCCAGCGAGAAATTGCACAGTGCCAGAACTAATGTTCCTGTTAACGGCCTTCTGCTCGTGGTGTGCTAAAGATCATTTAATATATACTCTAATTAATTAAAGAGTTAAATCATCTTTAAAATAGAAAATCACTTGGTTTCCATTCAAGGATGCAGTCGAAATTATTTTTGAATAAACAGGTACAATTTTGCATACGCAAAAGGCTACACAGTTTTAAATATATAATATATATCCTCTTTATTATTTGGCCGGTTGTTCTGAATTGGTTATGATAGCATCTAAATTTGCTTTGTTTAATCATATAGATTGTATGGCATGATTTCCTTGGTATTATTTTCTAGCTATCCAGAACGAAGTGTTTATAAAAATGGCTACCCTACTCGTTTGGGTTTGGCGAAACACGGGGCACGACTGCGCTTATCAAAGAAGCCACCCTGAAAACATATGGTTTTCATCTTGGGCACTTTCCACCAAGGGTCCACTTGTGTGGCTTGCAGCATCCGAGAGACATAGCTGCTACGATAATATGGCCTTTGGGGTGTCTATTGGCTTCATGAAACTGTGTTTATTAGAGTCTGATATGCCTTTCGTCTACGCGAAGGTCAACAGACATTAAATTTATTTCAGTTTTTTTAATTGGACTGTTTTATCGCCGCTGAGCCTGTAGTTTTTTTAGAAAGCCTATTACAATACAGGGGGTGGATCGTGGAAACCGAAACGTTGAAGTAACTTTGTTTCGTTACAGTTACAAATATGTGCTGTGTGTCCTCCTTATGGATGTTAATTACTCTAATGGCAGTAGTTCCGAGGTGTGCAGTAAGTGCGCGATCGGAGGAAGAGGTTATTCTGGATAAGCTTTTCAACAACAAAACGTACAATAGGGCAATTCGACCGTTAAACAAGGCAAAGGCAAGACATTATTGGTGCATTAGAAAATCGTTAATTTGGGCTAGCGGAACCCTTTCTTCGTCGAGTAAAGCTTTTAAAATGTCTTCATATTATGATATATATTGTGCTTTAAATGTGTTCTGTAGAAATTAGGCGGCGTGCAACTTAACCTTCTATTCTACGAAGCCATGATGAATCAGTGGGAGAACCCAGGTCTATCGTAAAAGCCATAGCTGACAGTTTGCTCTGGGAAGAGCTGTTGCTCTATTTTTTACAGTAGAGATCTTTAGAAATAATCTGCACCTGTCAAAGCATGCGTTCAAGGAGTGGGGTTTAATATAGCCTGTAGCAGCATGAAGTGCATATGTCGTGCATTTGGCCATAAAACATATTGCATAGTGCACGCGGTTTTAACCCACGGTATACAATGTATAAGTATACGCTAGAATAGGAAAGACTAAACGTATCCGGCGGCATAGACCTAATTGTTACAACGTAACCACATAATCATCAACGAGAGCGCTCAATTAAATGATTTTTTACAATAGGCACTTGTACACAACACGAACGCATGCTCGCAGTAAAAACTAAAGAACACATATGTGTATTATATTTTAGTTTTTGTTTGTATATAACTAAATTTTGGTAGCATAAAGGAAGTCACTTATACCCAATAAGTAGGCATCTTACGAAAAGAAGTGACTTTACTAACGAAGCTTTACATCTAACTTTTTGCAGCTGATTGTTCGTGTAAACGTTTTCATTCGAGAGATTTACTCAGTAAATGAGTTGAATAGAGAAATGTCGTTACAGGTGAGTCTAAATGGATTCAACAAAACAATCATACAGCATAACCCACACACATAGTGTTTTCCCTGGTACAATGATACTGTTCATACGGTTGCAGCTAATACTCCGCCTGCGATGGCGCGATGAGCGCCTCATTTTCAACTCGTCTCGACTGAACTATATACTTGTGGGACGGTCGAGGTCGGAAAGATTGTGGGTGCCGGACATGTTTATTACTAACGAAAAGGAGGCCCAGGTTCACAAGACGCTTAGCGACAACGCGCTTATCCGGATCTACCCAAATGGACAGGTGTGTGCATCGCGTCTTATTGTAGGACATCCATGCGTCACATACCGAATCGTATACAAAGATTGCCAGCATACGGCATTAGAGAACAGTTTCAAGGCTTTCGTTTGTGAGATGTTTCCATAACATAAACACATTTCGTGTGGTTTTTCGCATGAACGCATTATCATCTTGTCACAACTTTAGAACCGAAAAGCCGCAATGCTGAGGCCGTGATGTCTTCACTGCATGTGCATGAGAAAAATATGTTTAGCAATTTGCTCGTTATCTCGCCATTGTCGTTCTTTTTCCGCAGCCATTGGTCAGTTTTTCAGCGTTAGCCAGATGAGAAGCGGTTTAATAGCATTTAGGATGCGAAAACCTAATGACATTCACAGCTGTCTACCTCTCATTCTTTCCGAGCAGCCGATCCGTAGATCGGTCTGCCGCTACGATCGGCCTTACGTAAGGGATGGTTGCTGCTTAGCTGCCATAAAGTTTATCAGGACGAAGTTCGATACGCGACGTCAGTTCCGAAGATACAGCCAAGCACAAGGGGAAGCAGGTTGGCTTAGCTGTGCTCCGTGGTTCTGCCGTGTACCGCGCTGGGCGAGCTAATTTAAGAATCCATGGTATTGAATTGAGTAAATCACTTGCGACTCGATCCCAGCTACGTTTCCGATCCCGCTTTCCGGATTTTGCCCCTTTTAGTCGGGACGAGTTCCTTCTTTCGCTCCTTCCGTCTTGTCCTAAGCTGTTGTTCGCTGTTCCCTTTTATCGTCTTCTTCACACTTCTTCCTTTATAGCGCCAAGATACCTACCCTCTATGCTTACGGCCCTATGCGCAATTTGCCAAACTTGATAATCACGCAGGTTCAGCACAGCGTTCGCATCTCCTTGTCTCTATCATGCCCTGTCAACGCAAGCTGGTTCCCGTTTGGGTCAGTGTCCTGCCCGCTGCGAGTGGCGTCCTACTCTCGTGAACTTACCGAGATGCAACTTAGCTGGGATGACGGTGGCCTTGCCTTTTACAGGGGTAGGTAGCGAGAAGAGTACAATAGCTATATGGTAAAGTGAGAGAAAAAGAAGAAAAGACAGTTCGGACATATGCTGGACGTTCTGTAGCTGCTCGTTTCGAGATAATAAGAGTATTGGCATGATAGATGAGTGCAAACGAGTTAGATGTCATATTATTTACTACTCGATATTGCCTACGGTGTTAAGGGCCATTAAAAGCCCTGTCGTTAAGTAAATAAACTACGCTCGTATTGCAACTGTATTTCAAACACGGCCCAGATATAGTTGGCTGACACAGAGAAAGACATGATAGTAACACGAATTTACGTGTACATGTTTTTGGCTTTCCATGTTTGTTACGCCACATGAGTACGCTAGTCTTCCTCTTCTGTCACACAATGCACACACGTTTACAGGCATTGAACTCGATGGCTACCGATTAGAAAATTTTTCTATTCGGACAGAACAGTGCGTAACGTCCATAAAGCTCGGCAAGTTTTCATGTGTATCATCGGTAATCCGGTTACGCCGACTTCCACGTCGTTGGCTGTTCACGCTCTTCGTGCCTTGTGTTGTATTAGCCGGGTGCGCAGCTATCACTGCCTCGTTTAGACGGAAGAACGAGCACATCGTAAACGCGCTTTGTTTTGTTGCAGTTATTGGAATTACCCTTCAAGTAAGTACGTAGATATTTACAACATAATAGCATTGCAAATGCAATCGTACACGGTCTATGCAAGGCTTCTTTCCGTGCCCATCATAAACATACCCTGTTATGCATACGTATAAGCCTAGAACGTTTTTATGATCTTAAAGTCACGACTAGCTAATCACCAAATGTTGAGCGAACAAATACAAATGAAGAACATAGATGCTATCGGGAAAACAGCGGTAGCGGTTCATAGCAGCGCAATAGACCGCACCGCCTTTAGCTAGAATATTCTATCTAGTTAAATGCTAGCTCCGTCATTTGTTTTTTTCCATATAATGGTTAACTAAACGAGAATTGCTGAAATCACCTTATCTACACGCTAGGATCCTATGCTAGTTGACAGGATGACAGAAGAATGTGCTTCTAGACTAGAATTCTAATCCAGCTTTAATACTACATTGATTTGCTTTTAAGTACAAAATGCCTCGAAGCACGCATCAGGCACAGTGTAGCATTAACAACAAACCGGCGTGTGTGTAACTAAATGTGTTATGATGCCGAGTGGTTAGATATGAAACTGATAATTCAGCTATTCAATATTCTCGATGGGATTGATGAAGTCGAATTGTTACCATCATAGGCCATAGGACAATTCAATTTCCAAGCGTAACGTCTCCTTCCACAGTGCCCTTGTTTGTCTAACAGAACACGCAAGTCGGTTATATACGCTTATAATCTACAATGTTAAATAACAGAAAATGTTTGATTACGTAAATTTTGCAAGATGATAGCAGAAGTAGGTTGGGTCGGCGCCAGCTGCATGCTGGCGTGATTGCACATACAAATCACATGATCGATCAATATAACCTATTTCAACCGAACGATGAAGTTTATCTTTACGATATCCTAGCAGGAACTGAGTCACCTTAGTGTACATATTAGGCACTGGTGCGTGATTATGATCTATTATTTACGTGCAATGAATACGTGAGCGTACGAAATGATGATGATGATCATGGTCATATATACGGTGCGATGACTCGGCTAACTGACTCGAGGTAGAACAGTTCGGTAGAATGCTTCGTTTTGTGAACTTCACCCGTGAGAAACAGGCCTATTACTAACAGTTTTTTTCATTAGATGGGACAGATTTAGAGTAATCTGTCTCAGAGGGTCGTGTTCGCTCAGGGTGACGTTATCTGCCAAAGCCCGCATGTGCGCGTACATACATACACACATATGCACATAATAGATAATGGTCAAGTTGATAAATACATTAACTAAACATGTGGCAAAAATCGATTTGACCACATGCACGTTGGATGCTGTCCATAAGGGCAAGACGCGTATCCCGCACCGATATGGCTCCAATTTTAACAAACGGTTTTTGTTCCCAGGTCTCGAACGCGCCATCCAGTGACGTCATCCATGCCGTTGATGCTTGGGTTCTTCTTGTTTATGGCTTCTTCCTATTTCATATCGTTTTAATCAGCTATCCCAAAAGCAAAACTAACGGTGAGTTTTTTGCGAGTCGTTTGCGTGACCTTCGGGTTTCTGGGCAAGCGACAGTCACTGGTCTTTCCTAATCCACCATCAACTCAAGCAAGCACTTAATATCCAAATCAGGGCAATACTATCGTAAGGGCTTTTCTAGAATAGCCGTGCATACAAAGTTCGTGATTCTCAACTTCACGTTGTGCTGACTGGCATTTTTACTTTGGTATGGAACTTCTGCAACCAAACAGGTCCAATCCAGAATGTTCATCACAATCTTTATTTCTAAAATTTTTAATAAACATAATCTGTGTGTTCTTATGATATTGAGCCATCTATCCAACTGCTACTAGTTTCTCTTTCTGCGTCTCCACAAAACCGCAAAGGGATCTTATAACTGAAGAGAACTTTATGCTCAATGTAAATTGTACCTTTTTCAAATGTTGCTTGATCAGAATATGCTTTCATGTATAATACAGTACGCAGTAATATGCGCCAGAACCCAAATTGTAACGTCAATATGGGGATCACATTTGTTTTCGTTAAATTCGTTTGTCTTTTCGACGCAGTGACGGGCCTTGGAGTGGACTACGGGGTAGTCGATGTCTTATAGTACTAAACGTTTTTTTTGCATCTTGTCACATCTCTATACTTGAGCTTCGATGTACGAATTGAAGGAGCATATGCAAGCCAGGGAGCATTAAGCCAGAGATTCACAAAAAACGCTTGCTAAATTTTCTAAGCTCGTTCAGGCACTCTCATTGTTTTAAGGATTTACTACATAGATTCGACCGTCAGGTCAATTGATATAAGGAAGTCGTTAGAGGAGATAGATAACGGAAGAAACATCGAAAGGGGCCTATAACACGACAAAAAGCAATGCGCTCAATTAAAATGACCGTGTCTTCTCTCAGACCTAATGAAATATTGGAAGCATTTTTTTAATGAATGTACTAGAGACGACTTAAACAAGAGGCTATACACCTGTAAAACAGCCGAATGTACTTCAGCGCTAGCACGTTATGTTTAAGGTTGCATCGTCTGCTACGGGTGAACATGTATACATTTTCATGTCAAATTCATGTATTCAGCTTTTGTTATGATGCGAATGAAATTGTAAAAAGTGGTCAAGGGCTAGTAATTTCGTCTTACGTATTAACAACAGGCAAACATATAGGTGGACTCAAACTGTTTTTAATATTCGAGTTCTATTTTATTTTTATTCAGGTTCAGGAATGCTAGGATTAAACATTTAGCTGCACCTTCCAGACTATACCTTACGATCTCCATGGGCAAGAAACACATCAAATGCAGTTAGAGGACTTTCGCTAAAAGGAAATATATAGTCACAGAGTCTTCTTAAGCAAACCCGCTTGCGAAATAAACCGGTTCAGGAAAGTGTTGTGTTTAGATTAGTTACAAGAGGCAAAACAAAAAAAATCCCTAGTATTTTTCTAAAAAGGTCTCCTCTTTTTCTGCTGACACTTTGTATACTACGTCTAGAAGGCCAAAACGCCGTCGAGGGCTGGTAGGCCTTCGACGCGATCGGGACAAAAATAAGGTGCGCTGTTTGTTTGTTAAGTTCGAGGAAGTTAAGCTGGCAGAACAGCAAACATTTTGGGTGATTCTTAGTAGCGGGTCCTTAGTAAGGGGTCATTCTTAACGGGCAGGGTAGAAATCAGATGCTAACGGCAAATGATATATTTTTCAAACAGCGAATCAGTTGAATTAGATCAAACTGGACGCATTAACGCAGAAGTGCTGTAACATACTCGAAGTAGGGAACTGATCACAGTGATGCAGGAAGCCTATGAGTTTGACCTAAGACGTTCAGCGTCGTTTGTATATACATATGTGAAGGGCCATCTATCCAAGTTTGTAATGTTATTTTACAAAGGAAACAACTAGCAAAGGGGGAGACGCTGTTTGTAACTATCGACTGAAACTGTTACTGCCTAGTGCCCGAAATTATGGAGCTTGGCTCTAAAAAGAAGGCTTGCTGAATATTATTTTTCCTGAGGACGTGACCTCAACTCTTTCATCGTTACTTTGCAGGCGCGATTTAAGGCAACGCGGTTTTTTGAGGTTTAGCAAAGAATGAAGTCTTTAGAGAGAAGTTGTCTGTGATAGAGTAGCCAATTATGCTGTATTTACATAAAAGTGAAGAGAAAAAGTGTGTAGTCAATTATAATGATGAACGCAAGTAACCAAAATATTCGACTTGCCCAAGCGTTCGCATGGTGCTACTAAAGTATACGCGCACATAGCTACTGCGGATTATGTGGCTTAATTATCTGTGTTACTTCACTGATCTTTTACGTTGTCTTTTTTTTGCAATCCATAGTTAGCTCCTTATTCCCGAAGGGAATTTCTTTTATTACGAAATTATGCGGGTTTTGCTTCAGGCGCACCTATTCATATGATGTAAAAATGTTTTTAGCATTGGGTTAACGGCCTAGAGTATAGAAGCGCTAAAGTGTCTGAAACGCAACATCGTAATGAAACAAAACAGGCAATGGTAACTTGCACAATTCTAAGGGGTGCCTGTAGGCTACACTAGAATCCTCGCCGAATGACGCCTAAGTACAGATAGACTATGATAATATTCTGTTTATCTCGACAGGCTGCTGCTCCAGACGAGAAAATTCGAATCAGCTGCCCCGAACGACGCGACGATTCCTTGAAGATAACGCACGCATAGTATTTTATGGGATCTTCTCCGCGATTACCTTAACTTACTTCATTGTTGTTCGCCTTTGTACAGATTAGTTCATAAATACCACATGTGTGTTACGACGCAGTGAAGCTCCAGAGCAGATGCGATAAGAACCATTTGACAAAATACAACATCGCCAAAATGGAGGCCATTTCTGCTGAAAATTGGAACGGTACACAATAATGTGCTCTGCGCTCTATATGAAAATCAATACATGTATTGCATAACTATTGCTAGGTATTTTATCGGATTTTACGCATAACTTTTTTCCTTTATAGGTAACAAGGATCCACGAAGTTCACCCCATGAAACACCCATAAAGTTCAGAACATATTCTATGTACCGCACGGTGACTCCAAAAAAAATGCCTACTTTATTAATTTCCTAAAATTTTTCCTAAACTAGATATATGTAATTAAGAAATTTTTTCTTTGTATAAACCACAAATCTCTTAGTAGAATGTAGCGCATGCGACATTGCGTGATTCTTATCATACATACGAGGCATTGCTTGATATTTTAGATGTTAAATAACCACGTACAGTGGCACGTAGTCATTGCTACCGCCCGGCAGATCCTTAAGGCCTACACTAGCCTAACGCGGCCTATGTGACCTCTAACCCCCAGCGTGGAAAACGTGCTTGTGGGAGAGAGAGAACGCCGGCATATAAGGATTACTCTGGCGGTAAACTCACTTAGTTCTTATTTTTTGTGAACTATGCTTTTGTCCATACTTATGTTTATTATTCTGATAAGCGTATATCTTGAGCGATGTACACAGCATGAGGCCACCCTTTTTAGTTGTCCAATCTCCGATTCTAGGTTGTGAACTGCGATCGTATAATTTTCGTGAGTGGTTAAGGATTTGTAGGTATTCTACACGAAGCCAGGAGGCAGCATTTGCCCGAGTTAAGTGGAATTCAAACCTTTTCGACCAGATATATTTGCCTATACAGAGCGAGATCGTCCGCATTTCGTTCGTTCGACCTCGATATATTGTGTGCCGAACTTTATTCATGCTGTAAGCTGATACGGGGGCTGCAGAGAGAAACCGGGACCGGAGAATCAGCAAGCATTGATCATCATGGATATGGAGAGCCTTCATTTTTTAACATTCGATGTAATTCCTTGTGACCGTAGCCCAAATTGAACGGGTGCCGACCCATACCGTTTTAGACAGTAAGATTAGCGAGTAAAGCCTGTATTTATATACGAGATACTATGGACAAATTATTATCTTTAGTCGCGTGGTAGCACGTGTCTTTTTGCGCACATGCCATATAATTATCTATTGAATGGAACCAAATATTCTCGGGTTTGAGCCTATTCAACCGTATCTGACGTCTCGAGATTAGGTTGGAACTTTGGGAAAATCAATTATATACTTCATTCTGAACTCATTGAGACGAGAAACTATTTCGTGTTTTCTATATATAATAACGTAGCTGTTATGAACTGATCTTACTTAACGTGCGCATGGTGTGGGTTCGAAGCCGGCCGTAGCCAGTCGATGCTCCACTGCTGTAGTCAATCATTTTAGTTTAACAATAGCAGATTGTCACCTTCGCTCTATCCGAACCATAACAGTGTTCCCATATCGGCCTGTCGTATACCTTATATACTACTCTATTTATTAGACGAAACGTTTTTCCGTACATTTTCCAATCTTATACTCTTCTCCTCTACAGAATTGAAAAGAAAAAAAGAGATTTCATCGATAACTAATGTAATTTACATGACCGTCAAGCGCCAACATTCGTAGCACCTAAATGGCTAACCAGCAACAGATCCATGAATAGCTCCTTCTATCCACGCGACTCGCGTAATATGTGTCACCATAAACTACGTTTATTTGTGGCCATACGATAATGAACATCGCTGCCATGCTAAAAGATATTGCGCCATTCAGTCGCCAACAAGCGAGTCTACCTGCTTAATAAAATAGATGGAAAAATTTTTAATTTCCTGCAAATAGATCATTGCCAGAAAGTCCAGTTAGTTTATTAGAATGCAGACTAACTGCAACAATATGTGTTAGCTGTAGATGTACGGCATGCGTGTGTGTCTGTGGGCGACAGTTGCTGGTAAGAAGTTCCTGGGCAAACGTTAAATATTAGCCGGTACCTTCAGCATCCTGAGAACCTGTCTGTCAACTGTCTTCGGCCCCCACGCCTTTAACTATCGTCCGTTTACCAACAATCAGAGTAATGTCGCATTTTATTTTGTACGCTATTAGTGTTTGTCGTTGTCAAGGCGTGAGTGCTCTACTCGCTTGACCTTAGCCATTTATTTGCGATGCAGATGCCTATCCTCCCCCTTCCCCCTCAGAGGGAGTTAAAAGTGGGTTGAAAATGGGTTCGAATGAAGGGGACAATATCTTCCAGATGCTAAAAGCTATTGTCCGGATATCCGGCACAGCGCTGGCTTGCCAGAGCTGGAACTTTGGCCTCAGCTGACGATAAGCTCCAAGTTGGCCGAAGCAACGACCGCACTCGTTAGCCTCTTCTTTTCGAACGCCCGTCTCCTTCGGCAAGTTTGGCGACACCTCGTTGCAAGACAAGCGAGGCGAAGACTACATCATACTACGGAAGAAGGCAGAAGCGACAGCTCGGACGTTGAAACCCCCGGAGACATCCGACCATCCTTGGCACTTCCGTTATTTTCCAGCAGGTGGGTTAACAATCGGAATAACTAGCTCTAAATCAAAAGATTTCTCCAAAAGTGTAACTTGAATAAAAGAGAAGCTATTATGATTTACGCAGTGCAGCCAATGGAAATACTTTTGCTGACATGGGATATTCACAGTGTGTTGTTATTGATCAAAGCTTACATAAATGATCGTTCCCGCGGTACATCGGTGCGAACAGCAATACTGTTGTATCGCCATCGCGAAGTTAGCGCGTGATTCGTTAAAAAAATCCATCGACCGCACCGACTGCTGTGGTCATCATCAAGGCTAATTTAAAAATATTAAAATGCAATCCGTACAAGGTATATATTTTTTTCGTTGGGTTCGAAACTTCGACTGAGGTCACAGCTATCTTAGCGCTTCGCAACCACAAGATGCACATACTTTTTTGATTTTATGATTTCCCAATTATCTACTCCATTTGTTTACGTAGTGCTGATAAAGTTAATCATTTGCGTGGACCATGCACGCATTTTTTGTGTGCGGCGCTTCAAGGCTTCGGTTTGAGTAACACGAAAATGTGGGTAATCTGTCGGCCAACTTAAGCTAAGTGCTTATCGTCCAAAATGAAGCACAAAGATGGAAGCTTTGTCTAAGCGAGATAGGCGGTTTATCATCAATGCCGGCGGTGGATAGTACGGTCCTTGTTGACATCGTCAAAATAACAGGACGTCAAAGCAGAAGTCCCGCTGAGCTAGCCAGACAGAACTTAAGTTCCGCAGATCTCATTAGAGTCGCTATGAGGTTATAGGCTCTGGTAGCGATAGAAACGCAGTCGCGATAGTAATTTTACGAATGCCGCGGTAGAGGGGTGCCAAATTGCTACCTGCATTGGGACAAGTGGCTAAGCATGTTTGCGCATACTAGATGCCGCGCCGGGCGATCAAAATGGTCGCGACGCATGGCGCAACGAGGCAGCTCGTATTATCATGTTAGTACTTCACGGGCCCTCTTCGCTCCCGTCAGTTCCAGCTAGACGTGGTAGACACTGTCTCATCATCAGGCTGCGGTCCATTCGCATTTCGGTGCGTTTTCTTCAATTAATCAAAATTTATGCACATCGCTGTTAGCCGCAGTATATTGTCATGTCCATCCACTCACTTATGCCCGTGTGCTGCCAGCTCGCTACTAGAAACCTGTTTGGATACAGCCGCCGAAAAAAACAGCTGGCCAAGCGAAAGCTGGCCGTAAGCGCCGGGTCTGGAAACATACATTACAATTTCTGTAGCTCGTGCACACCGCATCGGTAACCACTTGCCGTATCGCTGGATCGGCCGGTAGAATCACCATATGATATAACTTCCCATCAGCGTTAGTTGTAATAAGTAAAATAAGCTGCCAAAGCCTCTTACCAACAGGAACGTTTCTTCCTACACAAAAGTCAGTCAGTTATTCATCTGACTGAAAACAAATTTATGGTCATGTGCATAGGTTTGCTTATCGTCGGTAAACATTCTCACCAATACAAAGACGAGCAAAAAAAAAAAACGAGGAAAATAACAAAAACTAAACAATAACGACGCTCATCATACCAGTCGGCAAACAGAAACATTCATGCTTTTGAGCTTCTGAAGCTTGTTCCTATAAACAGTATTGTGGACGATCTAAAAGAAGAATATACGCCACGGAGGCAAGCGCCTCTGCACAAACTGCAAAGTCCTCGTTCGACAACTGTTAAAGCAGCAGACAATTATTACAATGGTGACCGGATTCAACCCATTTGTAATAGAAACATAATAATATGTCTATATTCCTATAATACAATATTACAAGCATATCTAGGGGTGATATTAGTAACTAATACCGTTCGAATGACCACAGAAATGATTGTTATAGCTAGACCCGTGCAAACGCTATACATTACAAGAGAATGTTATAGAAAGTCTGTATCGAATCCATCTTAAATTAAGGCTTCTTAACCGTTAAAAGGTTTTCACTCACCTCGTAGATAAAAATCAAACGTTTTACTTCAATATCTACATGAGGATGATTTTCAATTTTAGAGAAATATCTCCATAGTTTTTTATTAAATACATTCTTCCCTTTCATTTAGCTTTACCGGCAAAGCATTATGTTCTTTTTTTTTTTTTGTTTATTGATAAAATCTTCCAGCACGAGTACCGTCGCTGACGGTTGTTTGCCAAGGGGCGAAAATGTGGAAATTAATTTGAACATGTTACGAGTTAATAATGCAATGATGAGTTCGTGAGTCTTATTAGAGATAAAAGCTTATATTTAGTTCATAGATTAGTTATTTTTTTTACATGAGTGAACGCACGCGTGATTAACATTAGTCGATTTTTTTAAAAATTTTATCTCTGGATTTTTTTTATTTTATCTGTAGGTTAGAACATCAACAGACATGTTTACATGTACACATAGAACTCAGCTTCGGTTTCTTCCCCGTACTATTGAAGAACTGTTAAAGGTTGTCCTTAGTTAAAGGTCTTTCCTCTAACGATTTAATGGGTGCGTAATAATTACTGTCTGGTAGCTTACAGTTCGGTAGCCTTACCATAGTGGCAGTCGGACCATGTGTGACCATGGGTGAGAGTCCCACAGTATGGGACAAAGCACAGTCAATGATGTCCGGTCTGCATAATGCATTTGCCCTTAACCTCCAAAAAAA